TTTTGTTTCTACGTACGCTATATAGAGAGATTTAGTTAAGAAAATTGTCGGGACTGAGGTATCAAAATCAAATTTTTAAATTTTAAAGGTATTTTAATTTAAGTATGGTGCTTAACATGGGTCCATATCTTTTGCTCAATTTAGAGAGGGTTTTAAATTAAACAGGTTTAATTTAGACAGGTTCTACTGTAGTGCGAAATGATACGACATTTATGGCTTAAACTATTGTTCTATAATAACAGGATCTGAGCTATTTGTTGCTAGACTAGTTGCAAGCAATTCGTAAGTAAATAAACAATAATCAGTCTTTAATATAGGTACAAGTCCAGGATCGTGCATGATTGAATCCCTACGCTTCTTCAAGCAAAGTGCAACCCATTATAGCCGGAGTGCAAATTTCTAATCATGCCAGGCAGCCGCTAGTGTCGACAGACGCCAGCGGTTGGATACTCTCACATGAGCATGTTTGTCGCTGCTCTAACAATGAATAACAGCAATCAATAAGGTCAGATCAGTGTTTTGTAAAAACATAAAGAGTGGTTATGCTGATATACGAGTGATTACACTCCTAAAGATTAGACCAATAGTAGATTTTCGCGCATACAGCTGAACCCTTCGTCTCTTATGAGAAAGCCACGTCATCTACTGGAATGGCTAGCACGCCAATGTTATGTGTTGAAACGGGAATTCACTACGGCTCTATTATCAGATGATTGCAAAATTTGTGGTTTAAGTAAATAAATATTGAGATGTGCACTGCTGTGAAGATCACGGCAGGATGTTCAGGTATCTGGCTGGCTGGACTGCTGTGATTGCTTGATAGGATTGGCAAACCTTTTCATTATGGAAGAAGCAGTACTAATTTTTAATTTATTTAAAGACTTAGAATGAGCCATCAAGAATTTTGTGAAAGATTACTTAACTGTAGTCTTCCTTGTATGTTTCCCAAAGCTTAAGATAGTGTTCGATGATGGTGCAGGAGTTGAGGATCAGCAATTGTATCCTGCAATTTCTCTGTTCTGTTTGCCCATCCAATTTATTGTAAGTATATTAAACCGTGCGTTACTGCTCGTTATCCGCTCCTTTTACACGTATCATAACATGAAGGCAGCTGTGCTTTGGCTTGTCAACTAGCGACAATGGCTTCTGACTACGCCACACATCATGTATCGTCTGCGGGATTAGTTGGAGTTGTCCGTAATAAGACTGTGGGACATTTGATCACTATGATGGGCACACGCTTCACGCAGTTCTGGTCCAGTGGTCCCAACATTCATTTGTCAATTTACCAGCTCGGCATCAATATCTTCTAAGGCGATTTCAAGATGAAGCTTTTTCTCCTCTTCGCCGCTTCGGTCGCGCTTAGTATCAACGATGGGGTGGATGCTCTGAACGTCAAAATTCCTGGTGTCGTATACACCTCGCGAAAGGGTCTAACGGGGACTGATGATAGTATGAATTGCAAGTCAGCGACTGAAGTCCAAAATGACATGAATTCTATCAAGACTGTTGCTGACCGTGTTCGCATCACCTCTTTGGTCGACTGTAACCAGGGTGAGCTCGTTCTGTCAGCTGCTCAAGCCGCTGGTCTTCAAGTGCATCTTGGTCTCTCGACGGCTAAAGATGATAACGTCTTCCAGACCGAGAAGACAAAATTGGCGAGTCTCATTGACTCGAATCATTTCGGTGACCATGTGATTGCAGTGAGTGTCGGTTCCGGATCGGTCTCTCAAGGACAAGTGAGCATGGACACTTCCCTTACATACATTAAAAGTATTCGTGACGACCTTCGTAGTCGTGGCAAAATGACACCCGTTTCGACCGCCGAGCATGTTTATACCTACGATGGTAACGTACAGCTCATTGAAGCAGTTGATTTTGTCTCGGCCATTTCCAACACTTACTGGGAAAAGGCCTGGGTCAACGAAGCTGTCGCTTTGACCATTGACCAAATTAGGAGCGTGCGTGCATCTGCCAAGAACCACAATAAGAAATTTGAGCTAGCCGAGACGACTTGGAGTTCGTTTGGTCAAGACTCAAGTGCCGCTGACTCAACGCCGGAGAACCAAGCCAAGTTCTTTTCTGAGCTATACCAAGCAATGTCTGTGCGTTCAATCGATTGGTACTGGAATGGTGCCTTTGATACCATGTGGCGAGAAAAAGAGGTTGAGAAACACTTTGGTCTCTTTAATGAGACAAACGCACTGAAAAGCAATTTTGAAGGCCTTACTATCACTCCTAAGAAACTGTTTTACATTCATCACATTCGGTGGAATTTCATGATAACGGAGTACGGTAAGGATGTATTCGTCCGTGGCAAATCGAATGATCCGTTCGATCAGGAGGATCAGTGGTGGTACTACGACGAAACACTGCAGCAATATAGAAGTCCGACTATGCGTTGTCTTGACGCCTACCAGTCAGGTAACGGCGGCGACGTTCATGTATACACATGCATAGATACTGAAGGGAATCAGAAATGGAAGTGGGATGAGGCGACAATGCTGTTCAGACATCTCACTCGTTTGGACATGTGTCTCAATACGGACCAAGCCATGGCTTTTGCGCTTACAATGTGGCCATGCTCGCAGGGAAATTCAAACCAGGAGTGGGATCTGATTCCTGTCTAGGTATCCCATCAAGTCTTTTAAGTTTCTTGAGAATATACACACTTGACTTTTAACTATGGTCTGGTTTTGATTAAGGCTTAGATTATAAGAATCACAACATAGTGTATCTAAATCTTAATGAAATCAGTCCGTTTTCCAGATCGATGCCTCAAAGACATACAGATGCATTCAGGCACATTCTAGACAATTGCCTAGTAGATCATTGGGCTCCAATACGGCATGGCGTCGACGATGATGAACAAAATTAGACGGACATGGCTCTTATGGTACGAGTTCAATAGCTTTTCTGCGATTCAAATATCTTGATGACCACGTTTTGGCTGACCATTCGTCCGGGCTTTGAATGTTTATTTACAAATCGTTCGAGCTGCTTCAACACCACCCTAGACTTCAAGCTGGTGGTGGTCAAAAGCTTGTGTCTTTGTCGACAGCGCATTTTATGAGAGTTTTCAAAGCTTGTTGGAATGGTAGCTTTTGAAGCGTGCATTGAGCAATCGAGGTAGACACATGGTACGGACAACGGTGGGTTCTTTAGCGAGAGTCATTTGTTATGTTGTAATTTTCAAGCCGAGAACTTGGTCTTAAGCTTCACCTATTCAGATTTGAATGACAATGATCGCTTGGCACCCCTTAACGAAGTTCGAATTGCAGGGTATTCAAGCACTGAAGTATCTTGGATTAGGACAAGGTCTAAGGTTGCAGGTGCCGTAAATGGGGGCTGCAGATGCTATCGGGAATTGTCGGACTTTTTAGGGGTAAAGACCTCATGGTTACGAAGTAGACACTGCAGATGCTGGAGGCCACAGATGCTGCGAGCTTTTCTTCTCATGGGATGATTAGCACTGATTTGATCTGTACCGGGACTGCATATTGACGGATACCTATCTACTAAAATTGTGGCAGGATCGAAATGGTTACCAACCAGCAAGATAGTTTAACAAATCTAATTAATGAAACGAATAATCATCGTTTGATTCAAAAGTGAGAGCTACCTTTAGCGCCGGAGTGGCTCACCCTATCCTGAGCGCAAATGTCAAGCAAGAAATTAGTGTCAAATACCTTCTGGGTCCATCATTCAATGATGAAGGTAGAGACTTGAGTATGAAGACTTCCACTGTAGCTCACAAAGTTCACGTAGGGATTGCTCAATTGCATATCATGGTACAATTATATCCCATAAGGCAGCACAGTTTGCCCTTTTATAATTTCTTTGCTTATTTCGTGCAAGTGCTAGTGCAGGTGTGATCTAAGTGTAATGTTCAATACCGCGCCAGCGGGCTAAGCAGCTGTACTCGCGATTCTTACCCTACTTTCCTAATCCTAAGTTATTTTCCATTGTCACCTTAAAATGACAAACATAATGTAGCATTTGTCATCACTAGCGCCATGTAGCATCACAGTTGGATAGCACCACTACGGATTACGCAGACTACCATTCAACCGTGTTATCATCACATATGAAAGAAGACAAGCGACAGAAGCCAGTTGTGTATACTAAGATCACAGACAATATCTTTTATTTGTTTGCAAACTCCGCAGAAATTCGCTGATGTTGGCGGTACTTACTTGCCTTTGTCTCGAAGGGTAGCGAAGCTATATTTGTGTCGATTACAAATGTCAACCACCAAGCTATCGAAGGCCTCAAAGTTTAGCACCTCTAATCATGGGTAGACCTTTCATGTGAACTGTCAGGTGAAAACGGGGATGCCTTCCCGTCAAATTAATTTCTCTTCGTGTGATTTTGTTCTCAACCTCCTTGAAGATCATGGCTGTCACATAGTGCGCAACTTCAAGCTGTGGCCCTTTCTTTCAGCTTCAAGCTCCTTGTAAATGTGATTTATTGCGATATTGAAATGCGGTTGATAGAATCAAACTTCTTGGAGGCAAGGATAGAAAATTATACGTTTCGATGCAAGTTTCTGCTCTTTTGAAATTGTCTGAATAGGTTGCTTCTTCAACACAAGCTCGAACGTCAAGGTGTACTGCTTATCCTGTCTGAATTAAACCCGGAAGTTTGGTCTTTCTTCTGGAAGTCTGCGCACAATTAAAATTACACATTAGTATCAAGTGTTGCGGTACCTTGTCACAGATTGTATATGATTCACAGAGTCAACTAGCATTGAATCTTGATCCGATCAAGTTTATCAGGGTTCTAGAATGTGAATACAGATAGATAAAACAGTGCATTCAATCTTACTTTTCATTTGGCACAGAACTGCATCGTTATTGCAAGAATGGTATCGCTTTTCATCGACCGGTATACCAAAATTTGAGAACAAATTCCTTGGTGAAGCGGGATACTCATCCCAGGTACGTAGAACGTTTCTTCCATAGTATATATATGAACTTCAATTGCTAGATTATCAAAATAAACATTGTGAATTGATATGTTTATAATTTTTAATTTCAGCTTACGGAAAAGTATCGCCAAAAGTCAGTATAGATGATAGAGCCAAGAAGAGCATGCTGGACTGTGATACTTTACAATGTGTCTGCGCTACGATCAGAAACCGAAACGGCAAATATTTAACGACCTGCTATACATTCCATTCTAGCAAGAATCCATACACCTTTTGCACGATGCCCACAATGATACTTTCTCTTTCACATTTTTGTTTAGATGACCTCCACGATATACCAGGTCCACCAACTGTTGCTGTTTCTTCATTAGAGGAGTCAGTGATAGGGTGGCAAAACCACTTTGACGAGAGCTACTGTGTGTTGTACCTTGAATAGATTTGCTTGCATCATTTTCTAACCATAAATAACAAAGACTAGAAATTTGAGAATGGGAAGACGATATCCTTAAGAAATGTATTTAAACGAAGTGGAACTTCCTTGGTAAATAGTACTTTATTTGTCTATTACACTCTTTCGTTGATTGTTATCATGAATGCACTTGACGGATTGAGGCAAGTGGGATGCCCAGACCAAAATTCATGGTTGATTTTAAGTCTCGAAAATCGAACTGTTAAAAAACCCGTTATATTAGCACCAAGACGTTGTTTTGGTAACCAAGCCTCTGCACTCGTCGCTATCGGATACTACATGGCGGCCGAATCAAATAAGAAGTTTTTTACACGCAGAATTGGCAATAATATGATTGAAGTGGTAGATGTACATTTAAACCTGGCTGTGACACCTTGTGCGATACAGCGATTACAGCCCACATAATGACACAGTTAACATGCTTTATTGGATTTATCACTGAAACAATGGAGTTAGACTAGCCGAACACATGCAAGAGTCATGCTCAAATCAATGCAAAGCTATAATAGTATGAGGTTATTCGCTGAAAATATGAAGTGACAGTAATATTTATTGGTAGTTTCATAATATTGGTAAAAACTCCAATTTTCTTACTGATATACAGTAGACTCCCGCTAAAATACGCCAATTGATC